TCTTTCTAGACCCTGGGAACCAGGAGAAGTGTCTCTGCGGTGTCCTCATCAGGAGGTTCCTGAGCGGTATTGTGGTAATGTGGTCCAAGACATCCCGCAATAAATACCGTAGGGACTTGCCCAGGGCTGCTGCTTATGCTAGATATTGATCAATAGCTCTTAACACAAGAGAAAGTAGCTCAGGAAAAGGGGTTCTGTGGAGCCAAAACAGTGCAGTCCAGGTTCACAGCTGTCATGATCTGCTATGAGAGAATTCTAGATGAGTTAGAACAGTGCTTGCTAAACCGATCCACAGAACTCTAGGGATCTGTCGATAGCCTATGACAACAAAGTAGATGCTAGAAACATTTAACGTCTAACATTAAAAACTAGAAGGAAGAACACTATTAAGCACATCTACGTAGTTCACACTATTGTGCACTAATCCGTAAGGGAGGGTACAGGAAGTCTGTGTGAGATCTCCCGTCCCAGCCTGTGGGGCGTGCTTCCTACCCTCTCCCCAGCCATGCGTGCTGCTGGCACTCACATCTCACCATTAGCACGTGTGCTGTCGGTCCAAGGATCGCTGCTCTGTGCTATGGACCCGCTCTTCCCCAGGATCTTTTATGCGCTGCATATCATACATTAATCATGAATCAAATTTTTATCATTCCTTGCAGCGATGGATTTGTCTGTGAGGCCATCTTTTATTGTCTGCTTTCATCCAAGCATGTGTTATAGCTCATGCCACTCTGTCAGCTGATTATAGTGTAGAAAGTGTTCCGTGATCAAATAAATTCAGGAACTGCTGATTCCGGGGAATGGCTGGGCCACAGCTCTTCAGTGAAGCAGCCATCCATGAACAGCACCACCAGAGGCTTCGAAGTTACGTCCTTAGGCGATGGGCCCATTAGGGCTCATCAGGTAGATATGTCCAACATCCCCTGCACAGACTTCAGCGTGAGCTTCTCTTATGGAAAAGGAGGCACCCACTATGCCTGTGACCCAGAGGATGTCACCCACTAGCTCATGGAAGGGGGCCAAGGTTTGACTCAAAGAAGGTGAAGCCTTTGGCTTTGTGTACATGATGTCACATGGGGGCCACAGAGAGCTTCCAAACAGCACTGCATTTGTTGGAAAATAATTAAAGTTACATTTATTTGGGGATTACTACGTGTCCAGGTGCTGTGCTAAGCCCTTTCCATGCCTTATTTGACTTCATCTCCTCTAAAAAACTATAAGGCAGATATTATTATTGTCCTCTTTTTATAAATGGCAAACTGAGAGCCACAAAAAAGTTAAGAAAATTTTTTTTCATAAAATTAAGAGTTAAGCTGGCAATAGTATTTAGTCCAGGTTATAGATAATTCTAAATATATTTGTGGCCTTCTGGTTCTAGAATATTCTTGTGGACTTTAGGGTGGCTGGTGTTTAATTGTCATTTGGGGCCAAGGGAGGTAAACAGACATATTTATGGACTTGCCTTTTCTCTTTCAGCGTGTGAAGATGGATATAGGCTTGAAAATGAAACCTGTATGAGGTAGGCTCCATGTTCATTTATTCTGATGAATTCATGCCAAGCCTTGTTTAGAAATTACTTAGTAAATTGCCTAATGATTTGAGATTTGAAACTAATTCTCATTCTTTTTCTTTGTTGACTTGCAGTTGCCCATTTGGCCTTGGTGGTCTCAACTGTGGAAACCGTAAGTATGCAAGAGTCTCAAGATCAGCATAGGAAGGGCCTGGCGTGGTTGTTAGCAAGCAGGGTGTCCGTCCATCTCCTCCCCTGTCCCTCAGTTCAAAACCACTGTCTTCTCAGCTCCTGTGCTGGGAGGTCTGAGGAAAGCAAAGAGTGTTCTCCAGGGGCTCCAGGTCTGGTAGGGGAGATAAACGCATTCCTAAATAGCCCTGACCACGGAGTGTTAAAACAATAAATGAAGCCTGAGAAGTGAGACAGGGAGGGAAGGGCCATGCCCAAGGAGAATAGAGAAACGTCCTTGGAGGGGATGGAATTGGAGGTTTTGGAAGACTTTGACAGGCAGGTATGGAGGGAGAAGGTGGAGGGAACAATTTAAACAAAGGTCTTGGGGCAGCCTGAGCCTGTGGTGTTCTGGGGACAATGTTTAAGTGGTGTGGCTGAGGATAGAAAGAGAGGAAGGCAGAGCGTGGAGGACTATGTTGGCAGAGTATAAGGGGCCAAACTGTTGGAGTTTGGGATGGCCAGCCTGAGAGTGTAGACTCTAATCAGTATCTACTGTGTGGAACCAGCAAGTCTTAGAGCACGAAGGAAGTTTGAACAAGAAAACCAGATTGGGTTGCAGTGAGGAGCATAGACTGGACAGAGGAGACCATGGGGAGACTTCCAGTACAGTCACGGGCAGGGCACAGGGCTGGAGACAGACTCGGAAGCATCCGCTCCAAGCTGATGGTTCCGCTCCAGAAGCACAGAGGGTAGGGTGAAGCACTGCATGCATGGCGTGTTTCACACCCAATTCAGTTCTTTGAAAAAAGATTCATTTAAGATCACTTTCATTGACATTTTCTTATATTGAGAACTGAGGAATTGAAATCACCTTTAAAATTATGAAAGATATTCTGTGATATAGAACGTAATAGAAACAATAACATTCAATACTTCATTTTAGGATAGCTTTGTTCCTTCTTCTATAGATGAATGGCCAACAGTCCATATTCTAAGTTTACTTAGACTAAAAGTAAACATGATTTAATATGTAAAAGTCCCCAGTGTCTGTTCCCCAATGGTATACTTTACATTTTATGTCCTCAATGCTATTTTCTTTGCTCATAAAGCTTTTAATTAGTAAGTTTCATTACTGGATTACCTTTGAGAATAATAAAAAATAAATTAATTAAAACAAATTCACTACTGAGCACAAAACTGACATAAAGCTTTCTGGGTGTACTAGCATGGAGCCACTCTCAGCCAGAATCCAGAGATTTGAACTTACATCTTTACCTGGGATTACCGGTGACTTTGGGCACCGGATTCATCCTGCCTGCAAATTAGCAAGAGGGAAACCATTAGATAGCCCAAGAGAAAGACTAGAGAAGCACTCCTGGAAGCAAATGTATTTACAGTCATATTAAATAGACAGGGAGGAGCCCACTGAATTAATGGTTTGTTTGTTTTTAAAGTAGCAACCTGAGTGAGGTCACTGAGTGGTGGAGCAAATAGCTCTATCTTCTTTAGTAGTCGCTAAGGACACCATGGTGTCATACAGGCATTTAGGCCCAGACGTTTATTATGGTAGACCCGAGTCATCACACACCAAATGGTGTCCATGTTACTATGAGCTGATTCGCACTCACAACACTTCTAACACCAAATACGTGGGGGTTTAGCTATACAGAGTTAGTGTCAGACCTCACAGGTTAAGGGCTAACTTCCATAAGACTGCCCCCACGTCAGACACCAATCCCAGCAGCCCAGACCTCCAGTACTTCTAACCAACCAGCTATAAATCCAGGGTTCTCATATCCTCCTCCTTAGATTCAGTAATTTGCTAGAACAGCTCACAGAACTCAGGAAGGCACTTTACTTACTGTTATAAAGGATGAAACTTAGGAAGAGCCAAATGGAAGAGCTGTGTATGGCAAGGTATGGGGAAGGGAGAGTTCTCAGAGCTTCCATGCATGTGGTGCTCTCCGGGCACCACATGCTCTCAGCACCTTTATGTATTCACCAACGCAGAATTTCTCTGAACTCCATTGTTTAGGGTTTTTATAGCAACTCTGTTACACAGTATTGATTAAGTCATTGGCCATTGACCATTGGAGGTGTGGGGGTGGGCTGAAGGTTCCAGTCTTCTAGTCACAGGTTGGTTCTTCTGGCCACCAGCCCCCATCCAGCAAGTCACCTAATTAGCATAAACCCAGGTATGGTTGAAAGGGGCTTATTATGAATAACAAAAGATGCTTCTTTCATCCCTGTCTCTCAGAAATTCCAAGGGTTTTAGAAGCTCTTATGCTGGAAACTGGGAATGAAGACCAAATAGATATTTCTTATTCTATCGCAGTATCACAATTGTATGCAGTTTAATAAGGTGAGGAAGTTACCATTCTTTAGACTATTTAAAAATTAAAAAGTAAGGGCTGGCCGAGTGGCTCAGTTGGTTAAGAGCTCACTCAAGAGTTTGAGCTCTGAGCAACAGCGGTTCGAGTCCAGCCTGAGCTGAGCAGCCGCTGAGCTGCCAACAGGTAGCAGGATGGCTCAGCTAAAAAAAAAAAAAAAAAAAAAAGAAAAAAAATTAAAAAGTAGTCAAAATTCTTTCTATGTTACATGTTGGTGCTTAAAAGGGTAGGCTTCAGGTTTTGGGAGATTTGGTTTATGTAAACCAGTCTGGATAGCAGTGTATGTCCTTTTCTAAAACTCACTATTTAGACAAGCCAGTTTCTCACCTGGCTTCAGCGACGTTATACCCTATGTTCAGGAAGATATCCGTGCTGTAAAGGGGCTGCCTGAGGTGCAGAATGGCCTTTGTTCACTAGTGTGAATCTGATTCCTCACTCAAAACCAGAACTGAGCCTAGAGCACCCCTAAACCGATCAGAGAGTTGGAGTGGCCTGCGCATAAGAATAGACCGGAGGAAGCCTAGGACTTTTCAGTGTGGATAAAGGAGGCTGAAGAGTCAGGCAAAACGTTTAAGATATTTGAGGTCTGTTCACCTAATGCTGGAATACTAAAACTAAATGGTATAGTCTTAGAAGAAGTGATTTTAGGACTCACGGTAGCAATTGCACCAAGAGCCTACAACCCTTATCATCCTAAGACGTTAGCAATATTTAAAACAGAGGCTTAGATAATATCATTAATAAAGAAGAATTTTATCGAGGGAGGAGATTATATTAGAGTTGTATCACATGTGCAAGAAACTTATTAGAATATAACCCGATCGGATGGTGAAGAAAGAAAGAGTAAGCAATACAGGTGAGGGGCGTGGAGTTGTGGCAGCTCCAGGAGTGAGCAGGGTAGGAAGCGGGAGGGAGAGATGTCATCCTCCGGCCCCTCAGCACTGAGGCTTCTCATAGGATGACCCCGCACCGCAAACCTGCTCGCGTCACACAGCTTCCTAACTAGGTTTTACCAGAAAACGCTTCCTATTTCGCAGTGAATGGAAGAGAGATCCCTAGAGGGAACATGGACAGAGTGGGACACCCTATAAAGAGTTGAGGAGAGGAAAGCGAGTGGTAGGGTGTTGTTCTAAGTGGCAGGTAGTGATTTTTTTTTTTTTAGATAATTAAATACTATATGTGTCTAGAGATGATATACCCTTACATCCATTGACTATTCTGTATGTTCCTGTGTTTCCCCATTATGTGTGCAGCGGGGGGGGGACAAGGGGTCTCAGGAGTAGCCAGGATTTCTCTCTGATGCTGAGGCTTCTTTTTTTCTCCATTTGTCCAAGTCGCCATCATTATGTCCAGCAGAGGGCACACTTCTTTCTGGATGTAGGCTAGCTCCCGGCCACCTTTTGCTGGTGACTTTCGTTAACTCAGTGATGGTGTATGAATATCACTTTCGGATGTTGATACCTGTGTTAGTTTTAGCGTTGCCAAGCAACAATAATGGCTGATAACAAATAGTACCCACTTCCTGCCCCTTTCCTTGAGGTCTCAGACCAGCCCTGGGTGTTGGTTAAGGAATCGGGAACACCTGAACTTTGCCCCCATCTCTGGTGACGGCGCCTTGTGATGTCTGGCTTGTCACTCAATATGTTGTGCCAAATAATAGGGCTCTGATCAGTCACCACTGTCACTTTTGCTGTCACCACCAAAGACTATGAGTGCCTTCTTGGGGCTGTAGCTTAGGCTGGAATTTCTGTAGGACAACAAATGCCTTTGCTCTATGCAGACTTCTTAGAACACACACTGTACCCAAGCTCAATGAGATAGGAGCCTCGCTTTGTCAGCCAAGCCACTGTCTTGAGATTCCCTCACTCCATATTCCTGGGAGTCATCCAACTCCACTATGTTCTGGGTTAGGCATCACTCCTGACTCGTCTTTCTAAAAGTTTCCATTAGCTTTCTAGTTGTGTCCAGATTGCATTCTTTGTTCCTTGTAAAGAACATCCTTCCAACTGGAGAGGGCAGGAATAGCCCTTCTGTCAAGTCCTTTAGTCCCTGAGGAAGGCTTGGCCCAGCTAGACTCCCGTGTGCTCCTGGCAGGGCCACCTACACCTGGGGAGCTCAGGTTGCACCTGTTTTATCACTGCTCTCCTTTTTGTTTGACTTCCATATTTTAAAAAGTCTATATTTATCCCCTAGATTCCAACAATTCTGCCGCATACACTTGTCCAGTAACCCCAGAATTCTCTTGCATGCTTGTTGTCAGAGATAGCCCTCTCTTCTTGCCCTCCTCCATTTCTTAGGCGTGCGTGTTCCCTCCTTTGCTTGAATTTTATACTGGCTCCTCCTCACAGTTTTATTACACCTCCCATGACATCTTAGTTTGCTTCACCCTTTTTCTCTCTTTAAAATAAATTTTGTTTTTTCATAACATGATTTTTTTAACCCAAGTTAATTAGAAAATAATTATAAATTAAGGGAAGAAGAAAAGTAAAATAATCAGTTTCATCACCCATTAAACATCGCTGTGAATACCCTAGTTTGGATGCTTGCTACTAAGTGTGGTCCATAGCCCCTGCGGCATGAGCAACCACTGGGAGCTTGTTGAAAATGCAGA